CTCCCAGCCCATTGTTCCTTCAGTGGGCTGGTTTCAGTCATTATGCAAATGTCCTGTTTATAAGGTTGAAACCTGCAGTCAGCTGAGACTGAAGACGTCACCTGGATGATGATGACGAAACGTTTCTCCCAGAAAACGCTACGTCCAGATGAACAGAATCAACCTTTGGAGATTTACTTTCCTGGATGATTGAGATGCATCAAGACGTTAAAGTGGCAGAGTTTACTTCTACGTTTAGAAGATAAATTAATGAAATTAAATAATGATATTCAGCCAGTTTTATTATTTTACAATGTAACGCAAGTACATTGTAAGTAACTGAAATTAAAATACCTAAAAATGAACAGTAATTAGTTACTCAACTTTTTCAGTGGAAAAGTAATTTAATTACAGTAACGCATTACACCCAACACTAGAATCAGCAGGTACTCGTGCTACCAGTGGAGCAGAGCTGTGATATGAATGATGATATGGGCCTACATATATGGTCTCACACACTTTGAATACGTGAGCTACATGCTTAGTGTAATGTGGACACTAAAGCTGTTGCACCAGAATATCTTACTTAAGAGGATGGTTCTTTAGGTACAAGGGGGAGCAAGTCAGTCAGAAACCCAGGGCACAAAGATGATGCAAGATGCAGAAACGTAAACGATAACATGTTGTCAACACGCTAAAGTTCCCACTGAGACTATAGATAAAACAATTGTAAAACCGGTAAAATACAATTGTCTGCATGCACTAAAATCCCCTGATGTAATTGTCCCACCACCCAGGGTGACTGTTCATTATGGGTCCACCAGCAGGCCAGAAATTCCCCTCCAGTGCGGGGGCCACATCACCCTGCCAACCACACTGTTGTCTCTTACTGTTGCTGCTGTCGGGACTGTGTCGCCACGTCACGCTGACTGGGCCATGTCCAGATGAGGCGTCACATCTGGGAGCTCTTTCTTCCAGTGCTTCCTTTTAATAGGTCTTTAAACAGCTGATAGGCCACCTCTGGACACGCCCATGCCTCAGCAGGTGATCATGATCAGCTAATTGTCCCATGCCCTACCAGTCCACAGTGGATTAAAAAAATGTCAAATAACACACAGAATGAAACCATGCACTAAACATCTGAATAAAACCAAGATAAAGTATAAATACAAATTTCCACTGTGTGACATCTTAATATGGTAATGCTAATGTATAATGTATAAAACACTGCAGTGTCATAGATGCAGTTTGAAGTGTTGAAATGAGAAAAGCCCAAGTGAACACAGAAAGTGTTGTAGCAGTGTTTTATGATAATGATAAAGCATATATGACATGATGTGGACAGTGTTTATTATTAAAGTGGGGAAGATCAAGGTATCACAGGGCAACTGTACACATGGAGAAAGGATTTTCTCTACAGAAGACAGAAGGAAGGAAATAAGTGCTAAGTAGAATATGGAGTAGAGTCAGTCCTTTATTATTGATTATTTTCACTGATGATCAATGATGTGTTTCATAATATAGACAGTGGGATGGGATTTTCCCCTTGTGCAGATGATGGTGCTGTGTGTGGAAGAGAGGAAGGAACTTAGAGTTTATTACTGCAAAGATACATAATTACAGCTAACCATTCAGCTGACTCACTGGTGATTGTAATGATTGCAGGTTTCATTATAGAAGAATATCAAGGAGAAGACAGATGGCAGGAAGTCAAAAACGAGGGATGAAAGTGCAAGATGTTGAGGACAACTTAGGAGCCCAGGCGTCAGGTGTGAACAACAACAATAACTGGGCTGCATTTAGGTGTACAATTTTCATTGGATCAGACCAAGGCTGTGTTTTTACAGGGAAAAGAATAAAACTAAACTAAAGTTATATAATCAAGAGTGAAACAATTAAAATAATGTCTTGGGGTCTGGTTTGATGAGGACTTTTCCTTTTTTCCTCTTCCAGTCTGTTTGCCTCTCAGAGCCACTGTGAGGCTGATTTCATGCTCACCATGTTGCTGGTGGCCCATGGGTCGGTCGTGCACTTCATAACTCTTGTATGTTTGTGCGTCCTGTCATATTCTCCTATGTTGTAGGATGCTAACAGTGTGTATAAATGACTACATCTGTGTGATGCTGGTGCAGCGGGTATATTTACAGATTCAGGTTTCAGCCTCTGCCTTTGACTCAAAGGTGATGAAGGATAAATGTTTACTCGTCCTCTTAGGTTTCTTCTTTTAAACACTCAGACTGTGTCCAACCATGGACCTGATCACTGATCTATGTACAGAGTCATAAAGCTGATGTTTGCAGTGTGAAAACTTCTTTAAGAACATTTGTCCAGCACCCTACATCAGCTCTTCCACATGTTCATTATTCAGTGGGGTCCCTTGCCATGGTACTAAACTGATTTTTTCCAGTGCCTCTTGCTCATCTTGCCTCTCTTCTCTGCATTCTACGGCTTGGCTGCGTCCCTCGGTCGAGTAAATCTGAAGCCTCTGAGATGGGCTATCCCTATGCTACGGTTCCTCTCTTCTATAGATGGGGAGTCGACATCAAAGGAAACTGCTAACAGCGATGCTCAAAAGCGCACACGGGGAGTTGGACCTTATTGGAACTATTCAACCACTAGCAGGACAGGCTGAGACAATGCAGAGCGAGTCACAGTGGGTGGCATTGATTAAATGGCAACCTGAGAGATTGTATCCACACAGCAAGAAGGTATCCTGAGTTCAATTCCGCATCCATCAAGTGTCTCCGAGCGTGGGGCATCATTACTCGTGTTATTCGCAATGTAAACTATTCAGGCAGTCAACACTCCAGTGCGTTTTGAGTGTGGGTGATCTTGACATGCAGACAGGCTCACGGGAAACGCTGATTTGTTCTGCTGTCCACGCCCTGTACTCTAGCTTGGTGGTAGGGACTCATGGTTTATTAAAATTAATGTCGTCAACAAATCGAGACAACACACACACATATAAAGTGTAATATGTAATGGTATCCGCTGACGATAACATGTGTGAGATGCTGATAACTTCATAATAGTAATGAGAATAATGAGCATCTTTGCTCGCACTACAGATATCCTCACTCGTGGTGGATATGACATATGATACAGACGTCGTTATGATACCTCCGCATCTCGCCCATTTTATTTGATGTAATTGCTTGCCGCCACCATTTGCGTTCTCTCTCAGCATGCTCCTTTGCTATTACGCTCTGGAATGATAGGATAATAGAATGTAGTTAAGATGCAATTGGCTCTACACACTAGCTAGAATTTCTACCTTGAGAGCTAGTGGATTTTTCAGGCTCAAATGTATATTGGGGTTAACAACCACGGTCTAGTTAATATATAGCGTCCACTTGATTGAGCGATGCAAAACACACAATTCCACGGTAATGCGATCTATCTAGCTGTTATTAGAATCTAATATGGCGCTGACTTCTGATACCTAACTTTATAACCACACCGTTTATCTTTGTGGTTTTCTTCCACATCTGTCTATCTATCGGGAACAATATCACTGCTGTCTTCTCTCACAAACTCCCCCGATTAACGAGTACCGCACACAAATAAGCATCATTTGGTGCCGAAGTGTAACAGTGCCACACGTCTCAATTCGACACAGCCACTCTTCTCCACTATCCCATACTAGATGGTGCATGGATAATTAGAATTATACTGGATGTAGCCCAATTCTTAATCATAGATAGTCATGTTGCTCTCGGTGTTTTCACTGTGCACATTACAAATGTAATTTCTCTCATCTCTGTTATGACAACAACACCACTTACACACACTGGAGGATTCGCTGTTCTGTTTCTTAAACTCACACATCTAGGCACGCCCGAGATTCGGTGTAGTTCACTAATAACATACGCTTACTCTGTGAGCGCTGAGGGAAAACTCTTTATAATTGGTGCCCACAACCGCCCTCCTTCCTATAAATCAGCAAAGGGATGACGGCCTCAAAGATTATTGCAAGCAACTTCAGGGTATGCGATATTTCCATTTTTCCTGTTTCTTTTTACATAATATTTGCTCAAATAATTTTATTTTCAAAAATAGTTATTTTGCAAGAACTGTTATGAAAATCTATGACATGAATGTATCATTCTTGCAGCTGACAAAACACAAATTTATTCGGCTCAAAAAATTATCAACTGTGGTGTAAACAACAACAATCAAACTACAGCATCATGTATATTTAAAAACAGAAAAGGGCAAATTAAAAGTGCTTCGGTGCCCTTCAACATCATTGCGGTAAGTTATTGCATTTTGTGATCTTTTTTCCATAACATATTGCTAAGTTACAGATATTACACATAGCTTAAAAATCTTACAACAAAGTTCTTGTCTTTGGCAGAAATAAATGAATTTTTTTAAATCTGATTTCGTTTTATTCAAAAAGTGCCACTTCACTAAAGTTGTCTGAAGTTGCTGATATTTTAAGATAAACCAACTAAAATATTTATAAATAATTACTTACCTTAATAAGGACAGTCAAAAGATTTGCCATTTTAAATGCCCAAAAATGTATTCATAATTAATTACAATTAAATTAAAAGAAATAGAAATAAAAAGAAGTGATATTTGTAGCCGTATGGCTCAGTGTTTTGAGTTTTTTGGTATTTTGATATTCATTGTTTATGTTTGGCTGTCATTTATTTGTCCAAAGCTCATTTTAGGTTGCCATGTTAGTTATTTTGTTGATTAAGTTCCCCTTGTGTTTTAACCCCTGTGTTAAGTGTCACTTGTCGCCCTTCAGGTGCTTACTTATGTCCTTGCCTCATCTCCAGTATCCCTTTTCCCTCTGTATGTTTCTAAAGTGTTCATTCTTCACGTCAGTCCACCATGTCCACGTCGTTGTCTGTCTTGTGTTTCATGTTGTTTAGCTCATGTCATGTCTGCGTCTTATTATGTTTCCTGTTTTACTTTGAAGGGTACTTTTGTTCATTGTTTTAGTTTTACTTCCACTGTGGCGTCATTATGTTCATTCTAGTCAGCTGTTCCCTCATATTTTTCTACTCCTGATCACCCGTTGAGTGTATTTAGTCCGTGTGTTTCCGTTTAGTCATCGTCAGGTCATCTGTTATACTTCCCCCATGTCATGTCAGGGTTTCTGGTGTTTTGCATGATTGTGTTCAGGGCATGTTCATTGTTTTAACTCTTGGTTTTTCCTCACAGTTTCTATCATGCTCACTATCATGTTCAGGTCAGGTATCACAGTTTTGTCATAGTGTCATAGTTCATTCATAGTTGCCAGTCTCGCCCAGTTTAGGTTTAGTTTTAGTTCTTGCCACTGTTGATAATGTCTTGTTGCATGTTCCTGGTTTTCATCAGCCACAATAAACAGCTCGCTTATAGTTTACCACAGTTTTGTCCTCCTCCGTGTCCTGCTTTTGGGTCTACTTCCTAATCACCGGCGTACCCTGCCATGAGTAAGTTTGGAAGTAAGTCAGTAAGTTTGAGCACCTCTGTAAAAGCAGATCAGTTTGCTGATCTGGAGCATTCAGTAGTGTGTTAACACATAAGAAAGACACCAACAATGATCTTAAAGGAACAACTGTTACTCACCATCCTGGGTGGGGTTCTAAGACCAAACAAGTGAACGTCCATCATTCAGCAATCTGAAATATTACTCACAAGTGGAAGATGTTCAAGACAGCCGTAAATCTTCTCAGGAGTGCACATCCTAGCAACCCAAGGTCAGACTGTGCAGACAAATTACATAAAAACCCAAGAGCTACATCTCAGACGCAGTTAGCATGTTAAATGTTAATGTTGAACACAATATAATTACAAAAAGGCAGAATGAGTGTTACTTGTTTGGAAGGACTGTCAGGAGTCAACTCTTCTCTTTAAAAACAAATTGACAACATGGCTTAGGTTTGCAAAGTTGCATCTGAACAAACCACAGGACTTCTGGAACACTGTCCTTTGAAAAGACAGGACCAACGTGGAGAGGTTTGTCCACAATAAAGGTTGTTCTACAAGCTACTGAATCATGGGGTGTACTTAATGAGGGTGGACACTGTGCTTCTGCATGTAACTTAAATTTTGTTACATAAATAATGACACAGAATATAAATGTATTAAAAATGTTGTGTATCTGAGGTTGTAGTTAAATAGTTGTGAATCTGTTAAGGTCCAGAGGATTTATTTTATATTGTTGTGATATATAAAACCTTTGAAGTGAAAGAGGGTGCACTTTCTTTTTACCATGACAGTAGTAGTTTGTAATAATAGATATAGTAATAGTGATATGTAGAGTGTAAAATAAAATGGGGTAAAGTATTAAATTGCTTCTTATACTTATTATATAAAAAATAGGAGAGTGTTTTAGAATCATGAATGAATGCAGGCTATATTGATTACTTCAAAGATGAGAGAGTGTTTCTGGAGAGACCAAATTTTTATGAGACATTATAGGATATAATTTCTGCAACAGGAATTGATTTGAACTCACCATTCTCTAAATTAACTTTTGATATTGTCCTAGTTAATGTATGAAAGTTTCTTCGCCAAAACAGATGGTGACCCGTACTGTGCGGCTCAAGGTGTATGGGGAGACACCAAAGCTAATTTCACTTCAGTCTTAAAATGCACAAACTCTGCTGGGCAAAGAACAAGGAAATGCAAGTAAGAATCCAACTGCTGATCATATTTATTATGTAATAATGTATCAGTTATTTGTTTGACTATTTTTATTTATTTTTTTGTATTGAAATGGCTCCAAGAGTCCACCAACAATGATTGTTTGCATTTGTGACTGGGAACATCATTTGACCAGTTCATAAGTGAACATTTATTTGTGACACTTAAGATATTAAGATATTCAATATTAAAATTCATATTTTCAGCTCAAATAAGCAATGGGAAGATGAGGTGTCAGGATGTGTGAACTCAGACCTCTACAACGTACTGCAAAATGCAATAGTAAGTAAGCTTACGTTTCATAATTGATGTTAAGAAATTGTTTCCATATGATGGGAAAGTAACTTAATAATCTCAAACTTAATATAGCAACAAATTCTCCAACTGTAACAAGATTTTTACGCAACAGAAAAATGGAAAGTTGTTCATCTTTTTGTCAAACTCACTGTAGCTGATACAATTAGGCTTGACTAATTCATATGTGCTCTTGTTACAGATTTCTGACACTGGACTTGGGGCATTACATAAAAATGCAGAAACAATATTTTCTAACCTTAACAATGTCACTCAAAATTCAGTGCGTATTAACACTTTTGCCAATGTGAATGCATCAGTTGATGTACTCAGCACCATGAGTGGCAAACTAGTTAGACTAGTCAAAGTAGTAGACAATGTAACCACAACTAAAGTAAGTATCAAAGAAGCTTTATTTTTATTATTATTTAAATTCTTTAACAAATATTAAAATGAATAAGTATAAATACTTGTACGTAAAGTTGGAATCTTTAAGAGTTATAAGGAAACAAATTTCCAATCTATTTATTCACTTTTTTGAATACATTAACAGTTTTACTATTTACAATTAGTTCATTGCTAATGCAAATCAAGAATTTCCTGCTGCTGTTACTTCATATTAAAAGAGTTCAGGTGCTGAATAACCCTGTCCCTTTTATTGTGAAGAAGCCACAGGAAGCAACATGTCACCACCTTAGCCATTGTTCAATTCAATTCAAATCAATTATATTAATATAGCGCCAAATTACAACAACAGTCACCTCAAGTTATTAGTGTTGACAGTGGTTTACTCAAAGAAATCGAGGGTCAATCAATGACCAACTAGGGAAGCAGATAAGAAGCTGCATGTGTTAAAGTTTGACTAGTTCAGTCTTTTATGATTCATTTTAAGCATCGTAGTTATACCACCCTCAAAACTTTGTTGTTCTTTTCAGAATTTCCTGGCCTCATCTAGTAATCTGTTGGATGGGTCTCTTGGAAACTCATGGGATAATCCGGATCCTGAAAGTAACAAGAGCCTGGCTGAGAAATATCTGCAGTCAGTTGAGGATTTAATTGCGATATCAAACATAAGTAATGATTCTGATCAAAAAAATATACATATAGACACATGCAGTGGAGATGCATGCACCAATACGGTGTTCAATGCCGAAGTCATTGTTAGAAGCTCAGGAAATGGCACTGTAAAAACAGCTGGATTCAAATACCTGCAGGACTATTTGCCCAATACAACAGAAGCATTTACCATCAACAGCATTGTTGTGTCAACAACCACTCAACGTGGAGAAGAAAACCTTGAGATTACACTAAAGTTCCCATTGCTCACAGCAAGGCGTCGCCATGTTAGTCTGCAATGTGTCTCATGGAACTACAACCAGAGCAAATGGACAGATGAAGGATGTGTATGGGGGGGCGCTTCTAAACCTGACGAGTGCACTTGCAATCATCTGACTTCATTTGCCATTCTGATGTCTCGGTATCCCATTGAAATCCCTTACATGACCGAGATAACGTACGCTGGACTTTCTGCATCAGTGGTGTCACTCGTTATCAGCCTCCTGATAGAACTGATCGTCTGGAGCAAAGTAGTCAAGACAAATACTCTACATTTGCGCCACACCGCCCACGTGAACATTTCTCTTTGTTTGCTGGTGGCAGATTGCTGTTTTCTGGCATCTTCTCAACCAGAGATCATTTCAGAAATCTGGTGTAGAATTGCAGCTCTTCTGAAGCATTTCTGCTACCTGGCCATGTTCTTTTGGATGTTGAGCCTGAGCACCATGCTCCTTCATCAGGCAGTTTTCCTGTTTCACAAAGTGGGCAAGAAAACCTATCTGAGGTTCTCGTTGATCCTGGGCTACGTTTGTCCTTTTCTCATTGTTTTCATCACATTTCTCACCAACAACGGCGGCGCTCAAGACGCGTATTTCAGTTTGGAAACATGTTGGCTGGTTTATTCTGGACTTCTGAAAGGAACCATCTATACATTCATTCTCCCAGTTGGTATAATTGTTTTCATCAACTTGTTTGCCATGATAGTGGTAATCATGAAGCTTTTGGAACATAGGAGCAGAGAAAAGTCTCATGAGAAAGAAATACAGGCCGCCAAAACTGTCCTGAGATCAGTTATTCTTCTGACTCCAATCTTTGGTTTGCCATGGATTTTTGGATTTGCAACATTTATTATGGACCTCACAGCTGGAGCTGTGACTTTAGCTGTGAACTACGCTTTTGTTGTGCTCAATGCATTCCAGGTATGGTCACAATTATTAAACTGATCAGACTCAATATCTGTTCTGCTAAAAGTATTACTTTTTTTTTTTAAATGCTTGTTTTTCATTTCTAGGGTTTGTTTATTTTGTTGACCACGTGCCTGGGGGACAGAATGGTAAAGTCATTTACTTCTAGAGATAAGAGGCCTACCTAGTTTTAGTTAGATGCTGCTGTATCACTGTGATAACATTTGAATATATTTAAAGTTTGAAGCCAATGGCAGGAGTGGATGATGTAAAATCCACAGCTGAATCAATGTCATTATTGTTGTAGTTGTTCTCAGGTTAATTCTGTGTTATTTCAATTATTGTAATGAAATTATTATCAACAGTCATCAAAAATATCCTTGGAAATCTTTTCATCAAATGTTTTTATTCTGATTTTCACAGACCCGTGAAGCACTGCTGAATTCTTTCAGGAAAAAAGTAAGTGAACCACAGCTTGTTCGTAAATAACCGTGGTAACTCATAATGAATGACGCACATCTGTTTCCTCTGTTCTGCAGGCTCCACCAACCATCAGCGAAAGCTCCACAAAGTTGGAAACAACAACTAAAAAGTCCTAAACAACACCTGCACACATGTATACTCACAAAACACTACATTTAAATCAAATATATTCGATTCATGAGCTACATTTACTCTTTGATGTGACTGTTTCTTTGTTGTTTATTTTGAGTAATACAAGTCAGAAATTGTCATAATTGTTATATGCATGTCTGTCTTTCTTTGTTCAATATACATATTCATATGAAATGTGATTTAATAATGCTGTACATTGCATGTTTTAAATAGCACCTAGCAGTGAAGAGCTGAAGGAAAACTCTCAGCTGAGAGGATAGAAGAAAACCTGCGTGAGGATTTTATTTCTGTAAATGGGATTTGGGCTCACATCTTGCTTCAGTTTTTAAGTTTTCTTTGTCCCGTTCTGCCCACTCCTCATCTGTGTCATCCACTGAAACCCCTTCGCGGGCTGCTTGTGTACAATAAACATGTCACCCTGTCTCTTCTCTGTAACACACAAAAACAAGAATGTATACTCGTCATGTATAAAGATTATACTCTTGGTTATTGTTATTAAAATGACAAGAATCTGAGGTGTGAACTGGGCTTTATGTCATACTGCTCCAACTGCTTTGTAGTCCTTGCCATGCCGATCCTGCGCCCTCTGACGGCGTCCTTGCTTGTGTGGCCTTGCAGATGAAATACAAACCTCGGCCACATCGTTAGCAGCAGTTCTCCACTGTAATCAGTGCACTTGGTAACTAACTGTGTTAAAAGTTAGTAGCCTGAAAAATAGGCTCTGGATCTTTTACTTTTCAAGGATAGAGAAACCTGTAATAACCCTTTGAGAGATTTTATAATAATACACAGGCTTTTACTCATCCAATTAATCTACTGCGAGCTAATGATGATTTCTAATACTGAACTTGTGACTAAGAGGAGGATGGGCACATTGTAAGCATCTTGCGTGTATTCAACACAATCGCTTCATGCTTTAAAGTTAAGTGTAACTATATAGTGTAGAAACTACATGATATGCAGAGAGGGTATATTAAGTTGTTCATATCATGTTCGAGTGAAGTAAGTCAATAATATAGCAATGTTAAATCTCGCAACACTGCATGTGATTTCATCTCGACGGCTTTGGATCATGGTTTGAGGAAGGCATCCATCTCAGTCAAGTCGAGCAGCCGCCTGTCCTTCTTTCGGTGTATATATGTACCCTGCCTCTTAAATCTATCACTTCAGGGTTATGCCCCAGCCCCCCTGCAACTCGGATAAAGATAGGAGGATGGCTTCATTTAATGATCACTGATGGGCATTTCCAGGTCAATGTGATTATATTATTCAATTATAATAGAACTCGATTCACATTTTAAAATAAACCTTACTTACTAGGCCTCTTCAGTTAATCCTCAGTTTGGGTGTTCACTGCTTTAAGCAAGTTTTCCTCTGACTGGAGACCCCCCCCCCCAAACAGCAGGTGAGTGAGTCAACTGCATATAGTCAGAGCTGAGTCCCTGAGTGGTTATTTCATTAATATCTGCCTTCACCTTGACACCACAGAGCAAATAGAAGGACAAAAACACCCTCCCAAAAACAAACTCATGGGCTGGTTGTTTTCAAGCTGTCTGACACTTAAGCATTTGGATCATAAAAATTACCTGCACATATGCTGACCTCATTATTTTAAACTTTGGCCATGTTAAATAGAGCAACATGTATTCTAACATTATAAAAAACCTAATTTAAATGGTTAGTTCCTTCCTTGAAGGTTTCTCAGGTGAACTATGCTAATATAAAAGTGATATTCAGGAGCTTTGACATTGGAAGAAAAGTAATAATATTTTATGGTGATATTTTCTCTGTACTTGATGATTTTTTTAGTACTAGTTTGGTTGTAAAATATGTCCTTTGAGAAGATATTGCCTTGACTTTTAAGAATGTATGTTTATTACTTCACTGATAATGTCAGGTTTGTCCCTTGGATGTTTGTCCTGAGTTCCTAAAGGCTCTGGATGTTGGTGGGCTGTCTTGGTTGACACACCTCTGCAACATGGTGTGGAGATGATACGGGGCGGTCCCTCTGGATTGGCAGACCGGGGTCCAATCTTTAAAAAGTGCAACTGGAGGTTGTGCTTCAACTACAGGGAGATCACACTCCATAGCGAGGGTGCTGGAAAGGAGAGTTGACCCTTTAGTCAAACCTCAGATACAGGAGGAACAATGTGGTTTTCATCCACCAGGGCTGCCCTTTGATTCTGTTTATAAATTTTATGTACAGAATTTCATCTGTGCTTTTTTCAGATGATGTGGTTTATCGGGTGGTGGCCTCTGGCTCTCACTGTAGTGGTTTGCATCCGAGTGTGAAGTGGAGGGAATGAGAATCAACACGAATGTGAGTGAGAATGAGAATCAAATTTGAGGTCTTAGCTGGAAAATGGTAGAGTGCTTACTGTGGGTCAGGACCAAATTGCTGCCCCAAGTGGAGGAGTTCAGCACCTCCCTTAGATACAGGGTGAGGAGTTCAGCAATTAGAGATGCGTAAAGTTTTTATTTAAAAAATAAAATAAAATAAGAGTTAGATACCTGACTCTCCAAATACATTTCCTGTAATGTGGGTACAATTCACATATTCCTACCAGCGTATGAACAGTCAGTTCCTGATACATATAATTTGACTGAAGATTTGTATGCTTGGAGTGAATAAGTTCCTTGTTTTAAGCTCAGGCCTCTAATGATTGTGCAAATTGGACCCAAAAACTAGGAGCCCTGCATTACAGAGCTCTGGGTCCTCAACAAAAAGGTTATATAATAATGTAAATAATGTAAAAATAAATATAGATGCTTGGTAGTGTGCTGATTTGCCACTAAAGTAACATCAAAAGTACATCCCCGTGAAACATTAATTTGGCTAGTTTCTACTTGTGGCTAACCATAGGCCACAATTTATCTCCTGCTAAATTTTCAGACAAACTCTTGTAATTTACCGTTTATCATTTGTATTTTCTCCCAGTCCACGATGAAATACTCCAAGAAATCCAAAAGAATTTCCTACATACAGTCAAAAGCATGTAAATAAACATCACATTAACACACGCCTACACTAGTGTGAAGCAGCAAGTTGGATGTTGAATAAATATAATACAGGTTATCGAGGGATTGCATGCCAATCCCAACTGAAGGCAAACGTGACAGATGTAAAAAAATAAAGTGGTTTTCATATATTAAATCATAAAAAATTATTTCATATATGAAAATGTCAACGTTATCAATCCCTTATCAACAAACAGTATATCAAAGACATTAGATTCATGTAAATTATACATTTTATGCATAGATAAGAGCATTCTATCAGAACGCTAAGCAAACAGCACAAAGCAAAGATGAAAACTAGAACAGACTTTAAAGTGAGCATGCCATTGCATGTTTTTCTGTACGCATAATTTCGAAGTGAAAATATATGCTAAAACTATGGACACCAACATCATTCATTCTATTTTTGAAAGTCAAATTAGTCCTTCATAAGTCTTTTTAATTTGCATGTGTATCTGCAGTAACCTCTTACAGTAACTCATCATATACTCCTATTACTAGACACCAGGTTTTAGTCTTCTGCCGACCTTGTAAGTTGCTGTAGGGAGAGCTCCATCAGTTGATAGTTCATCATTTCTGAGCACCGATGGGTCCGTCTACCATCTTGTACAGCAGGTTAGTGACGCTTTCACAAAAATGTTTGGATATGTGTGTAAAGTATCATTTAAAACGAATTGAAAATAGTGTTTTGAAACTTGGGATTGTTTTTGTTTTTTTGTTTTTTTGTTGCCTGTCCCGTTTGGCTCTTTTGCCATCAGAATTATTGTCTAAAGGCAAAGAAAGATGCCCAACAGATTTACTTTACCAAATTGACCATCCCAGCCTTGCCATAATGGTCCATTTGATTCACCTTTTGTTTATTTTATTTTCACTTGCTGAATACGGGACAGACTTGACTGGGGGAAAGAAGGGGAGAAAGAAAGAGAAACAGCTGAGAAGAGGGACAGGGGAAAAGGGCAAAAAAACAAAAACCAACAGAATGGGCAGAGAAAGAAAAAGAAAATGCATCTATCGATCACCTGGATCACCTGCTGAGAAAGAAAAAAGAAAACAAGCAGAAGAGAACAAGAGTAATAGAATAAACAACATCACAATGATATATGGGAATATGACAGTAAATACTAAATATTAAACATTATTGTGCAGCACATAAGATCAACAGAACACAGTGTGCTTTGAGGTAGGAGCCAAAAAGGGTGTAGTTTGTGGGTGTGATCACCCGTGTGTACACCTGTGAGCATGGACGCGCTTGTGTTTTTTTTAAAAGGTTCCTTCATGTAATGATCTGCTAGAGGGTGTGGGGGGGCCACAGCCCCGTCCTCCAGGGCATGAAGCAGATATGGAGGAGATCAAAACTCCAGACATCCAGAGGCCCCCAGAACACAAGAGACCAAGGAAGACCAACAGAGGGGCAGCCGCGCCACTGTCCCAGAAAGAGCTGAGGAGAGTCCCAGATTAGGGCTCACTCAGCAGCCGCGGAGCAGAAGCCAGGGGGGGTTGCAGTGATGCGCCCGTGAGCTCCGCCAGAATTGTTTGTAAATGTATTTGAAGTTTGATGCTGATTTGTGGGTATGATTTCTGGCTGTCGGTCTGATAAGCGCCTCAGTGTCAGCTTTAAATGTAATTTTTTTTGTGTAATATATCAGGATATTTATATTAGAGCATTTTTACACTATTAATATTGGCAGTTTTCGATCATGTCCTTACTATCTTGGAGAAACTGAGACTGCAAAACTTCCTCTGGGATTAATAAAGTTTTCAGATTCTGAATCGCTTGGTTTGCTTGAGTATAAATGATATAACCTAAAACATAAAAAAATCTAAAACCTTTTTAAAAAATATTTTTAACCCTCTCCAGGCAGGCGTTGCCGATTTGCAACGGTTAAAAACTAACAACCTGATTACCCCACATACATTTTTTTTTTTTACTCAGAAGTACCACTGCAGGACTTGGTTGTCCATTAGCAACTAAAACTTAATTTGAGCCTGAGAGGGTTAAAGAAGGCTGTGCCGCATCACCTTTTTTGCTTTTGTGGTCCACATGTTTGCAGTGTGTGAAAGATTTGGACATTGGACAGGCCAGTTTAGGAGCCATACTGTACACAACCACATAAAATATGGTCTGACATGGTCTTGCTGTAATGAGTCTTTCAGAAGTGTTCTTGAGCCCAAGCAGTGATTTCCATACATAGTATTATATCACATCTCTTTTTAAATTGGATTGCACAGTGATGGAGTGGTTAGCTCTGTTAATTAAAAGCATGAAGGTCCTGGGTTTTAAGTCACCAGCCTGTTGGAGCTTTCTGCCTGGAGTTTGCATGAGTTCCCCGTGATGCCGTGAGTTGCCACAGGGTACGCCACACCCTACATTCAAAAGACAGCTAAGTTAGGTTAACATACTCTAAACTGGAGGGAGGTGTGAATGTGGGCATGAATAGTTCCTCTGTGTGATAGCCTGGCAGGATGGATGGATGGAACGGTTTGTAATTCCAGGCTCAACAGTAATGGCCGTTCTATATTAGAGTTCAGCTTTGTCTCTTGTGTGTGGATTTGTTTTTACTATTTAATGTCTATCATACAACATAGAATCTACATTTCTTTTTCATTCTTAGAGTATTTTGTAGCTTGCTGCGGATATATTTTTCTCCCCAAAAAAGGTGTTTATGTTGTACTTGAACTATATTTAGTCAAATGATTACCAATCATTGCACCGCCTTTTTACACATCATCCAATTTTTTAGGAACTTACTTGTTTACAGAGCTAGTGCTGTAATACAAGCTACACACACACACACTTTATCAGATACACCTGCACAGTTTAACTGTTCTTTCGAGATAAGCGGATTTCTTTGTACTGCATCATATTCAAATGTGTTTTTTTTCCTCTCTCATGTGTGCAAAACGGGAAAGATAAAGTGACAGAAAATCTTTTTCATGCATCACCTTCATTTGTTTTGAAGCGGAATATTTTAATTATAGCATGCTGTGTACTCCAAATGCTTTTTAAAAATATCATTTATTTTTCCCAAAACAGGATGTGGACCTTTTTATTTCTTTACATCTTGGGCATAAACTTCTGTCAGGTTTGTTGATTACACACAATTACACATTTTGATCTTAAAGTTCAACTGTATCATGAAATAAAATAAAAAAAGAAGAAAAAAATGGAATCACTTTTCTTTCACAGGCTGATAATTCAACACAAATGCTTTATGCCAAACTGATAATAGACAAAAGTGCAATTGCAAATATCACGAGCATCCTGAAGAATTTTACGTGTAACAATACATTTGTTGTAGCACCTGTAATGACAACAGGTAAACTAATTTCCAATCTTCCACATCATGCTGTGATTTATGAAGTATGAAAATGCTTATATAACCTCTAACTCTAACCCTGAATAATTCTTGTCCTCATAAGTGTGCACAAATGGTACCGGCAGCAAAGAATGTGAATGCAAACCAGACCACAGATGGAACGACACTTTCTGTCAGTCTAATCCAAAATGTTGTGGCAATGCAACATGCACTTTGGATAAAAGTGCAGATGCAAAATGTGTCCTAAACACCACAGGTATTAAGTCAATTTAACTGTTTTTGCACATCTGGTTATTTGTGAGCATCAAGGTTAAAAGCATCCCCCAAAATGACATTTTCTTGCTCACAGTTACCATCACAGGGTCTCTTAGACTGCAGGGGTCTACATATACAGATTGTTTGGAAGATATAACAAACCCTAAATATGCAAATTGCAGTGATGGGTTGTTGACAAAGGTGATAATGTTTTTCTCAAAATGCATTTAAATGTATACAGCTTTATTTTTAACCTTGAAAATAGAAATTACTGTTATTCACTTTATTTCCATCCTTTGTTACCTCTTAGATGAAAACAGTGTACAGCACTCTGTGGGGATTTGACTTTTTAAACATTACAAGATTCAGGTATATTCGTGCAATTACAAATAAAATATTCTGTTTTTACATTTATCTAATAAAAATGTAAAATCACTCTTTTTTTTGTTTGTTTGAAGGATTGGTAGCGTCATTGCAGACTTTAAAATAATCATCGCCTCCAGCATCGATTCACAAGCTCTGATAAGTAATTCAGTAAAGATTGGCCAAAGTCTGTCCGCCTCGCTTGATATGGAGACTTCAGGTAATGTAATCTTGCTGCAGAGGGGTGCATTGTATACTGTATGCAAGAAATTCTTTCCAACATGTGAGTTTAAAAATTCTGTAAATTCTGTTCTCTCCTTAGTTCTCCATGATCATCATTTTCTGTCCACCAAAAAACAAAAAAACAAAACCCAAAGTGAAATCAGATTTGTTATGGATGCAATCATTACTCTGATGAAGATAAAATGAAAGTCACAGATCTTTATGCATCTAGTTTTAGTTTATAATAATTTTAAGATTTATTCTGTTGCTCCAAAACAGTACCTTCAATCTGTGGTGTTCACAGCACTGGATAGGTTTTTAAGTTTCAGGGACTGAAATTTCATTATTATTATTTTTTCCTCCACAGGTCTTGTCAACTTAAAGATGCCACCAATGCCTGTGCCTTATGATGCCACCAACCAAGTGATCAGATGCACAACCAAAGAGGACCTGAAAATTTACCCACAATGGAGTATAATAAATAGCAAAGGGCAATATGACATAACTACTGGAACAGTTTCAACAGTTTATACATCATCACGAACTAACAGTACAGTCAACCTCCGTAACGTCACAGAACTCTGGAATGGTATGTATGAATGTTCCATTATATTATTATTGGTACTGTTAATAATTAAAGATGATACAATGATGGCAAAACAGAAGAAATGCACTTTTAACACACATGTGAAAGCCCCCCCCCTCCAACCACCCCTCTATGGACCAGAAACAAACAGAATGAAAAGAATCCAGAATTGAACATCAACCTAAATCACAAAATCTGCTGGCTTTAACCCCACTTGTGTTTGCTTCTTAGGACAGTTCTCATGTATCTATCACCAAACGGGTAATTGCATCACATCAGGCTGTACAGTCAACATGTTACACAAAGCCAGTGCTCAACTGGATGTAGCACTATTACCGAACATTGACGTCTTCACGGAGCCATCATTTCCACGCTGTAAAACCGAAAATGATATTCTCCAAGCAAAAGCCAAATGTGAGATAAGCAATAGTACTGAACCTTATACTGTCACATGGGATGGAGGTCTCAAAGGCCAATTAGAAACTCAGAGTAAGTAATTTATTTGGTCTCATTTAATTTCAATTTAAATATTTATTATGCAAAATTGTTCTGAAAATAAATGACATGAATATTCAATTCTTGCAGGCGGCAACATACTAGTTTATACAACTAGTAAAATAATCATCTGTGCTCATAGAACAAGTGTAGATACAAGAGTGTGTACATTTACCAACAGACTTGGGAATGTAAGACAGGCTACAGTGCGCTTCAATATCATTTCCGGTATGTCTTTGTATTTTGCAATGGGAATTATTGAAGGCATAATTACCCACAAATGATCCCACAATGAAGTAAAAAAAAAAAAAGAACTAAGTAACTATAAAACTTTCAACAAACAAATGAATCTGATTTCATTCATTTGTGCCAGTTCACAACAACAGGTTCTGATATTTTAACATAAACTGCCTGAAACATTTTTAAATGATTACTTACCTTAAAGACAACAGTCAAATGAATCATTTTAAATGCCCCAAAACGATTCCTAATTCATTTCAAGAAAAATAAAAGATATACAAGTTTAAAAAGAAGTCACATATGTATCTCTAAGACACACATATGTTATTATGGGTTTTGTTTATATTTGTATTTTGTATAGATTAACAGGCTGTCAGTAAGTGTGAGCGCCTCAGTAAAAGCAGATGTTTTGTCACTTTGCTGGTCTGGAGAATTCAGTGATGTGTTAATGCAAAAAAAAAAAGCAAAAAGACATCAACAACTGTTACTCCCCATCTTGGGCTGGGTTATAAGGCCATTTACAAACAATTTGAAGTCTATCATTGCAAAATATTCGAAGTCAGAAATATTAAAAACAGCTGTCAATCTTCCCAGGAGGGCACATTCTTGCAAAGTCAATCTTAGACTCTATGAGCCTCAGTTAGCATGTTAAATGTTGAAGTTAATCAGAATACAATTGGAAAAAGAAGAATAAGTATGGCTTGTTTTGTAAAGGCTGTCAGGAGTGATCTTCGTCTCTAAAAAATGAACATGGCAGCACAGCTTAGGTTTGAAAAACTGCAACTGAACAAACTACAAGACTTCAGGAACAATGTCCTTTGAAAGGTCAAGACCAGAGGGGAGAAGTTCTGGCAAAAAACAAACACAACATATCATCACAAACAGCTCATGCCAACTGTCAGCACAGTGAAGGGTTGATGTCCAGGTCCTGTGATGGAACAGTCACTGAGTCAACCATGAACTAATCTGTACTGTGTTAGTTTCTAGAGTTGCATGTGAGGCCATTTGTTTATCTGAGGTTGCAATTATATAATTTCAGAACTTTCTATAGTCCAGACAAGTTTTTTAAATTACATCCTGATATATAAAGGATGTATATATTGGCCCTGCGACCTGTCCAGGGTGTACCCCGCCTCTCGCCCTATGACAGCTGGGATAGGCTCCAGCACCCCCCGCGACCCTGAAAAGGATAAGCGGAAGCGAATGGATGGATATATAAAACCTTGCAATTGAAAGAGGGTGCACGATATTAGTGTATAATAATATAGTAATTGTGACATACTGAATTATACTACATTGTAAAATACATTTGGGTAAAATCTGGCAAGGATTGTGCAGTCATGACTAAATTCTGGAAATACTTATTACTTCATTGAAGGATCAAATATTTATATATTTGTATGCTTTACAGGAAATTTTTTTTGTGACAAATTCAGTTTTAACAGTTTTAGAATATTGTCTTTGTAACTATATGAAATTTTCTTCCCTAAAACAGTAAATGATAAGTACTGTCCAGCTGAAGGTGACTGGGAAGACACAAAAGCTACTTTTACTGCAGTTTTAAAATGCAAAAACTCTGCTGGGCAAAGAACAAGGAAATGCGAGTAAGAATATAACCAATCATGTGTAGTATGTAATAATGTAAATAATAATAATAATTTATTTTTATTTATTTATTTGGATTAAAAGTTCTGTTTCTTTTACTGTCCAAAAACTATAATTGTTTGCATTTTGATTAAGGAAATTATTTAAGCAGTATATATATTAGAATTTATGTGTAACATTAAATTTTTTTAATTAATATTTTCAGCTTGGAGGGGATATGGAGAAAAGAAGAATCAAAATGTGTGAACTTCGACCTCGACAATATACTGCAAAATGCAGCGGTAAGCCTAAATTTTATAACTGAGGTTATCATCTTATCACTTTTTATTTTTTGATTTTGTTTTTTACACATGAAAGGAAAGTAATCGTATTAATATAAAGCAACAAATTATCCAACTGTTTTGCTATTTTTACAGGACAGGAAAATGGAAAGTACTCTAGTGTTTTTGTTAAAGTCGCTGACACAGTTACATCTGACACAGTTAAGCTTGACTAATGCATATGTGCTCTTGTTACAGATTTCTGGCACTGGACTTGGGGCATTAGAAAAAAACGCAGAGTCAATATTTTTTAGTCTTACCAATGCCACTCAAAATCCACAGACTATTAACACGTTTCCCAATTTGAATGCATCAGTTCAAGTGATCAGCACCATGTCTATCATTCTGACAGACCATGGTGTAAATGACACAACCACAAGTAACGTAAGCACCAAAGAATATCTTTCTTATTACTATTTAAAAACATTAAAAACATTAAGATCGATAAGCATAAATACTTGTATTTAAAGTTACAATCCTTAAGAGTTACAATGAAACAAATCTCCAGTATTGGTCAATGTATTTATTGCTATTTACATACATTAGTAGTACAGTCTCACTATTTAACTTTTACACCAAGTTCATTGCTCATTTAAACCATATACCATAAAACAGCTGCTGACGAGTGACAACTAACTCATTTTTTATGATTAATCTTTAATGGGAACATCACAGCTATATGAGCTGCAAACCTTTGTCTTTCTTTTCAGAATTTCCTGGCCTCATCTAGTAATCTGCTGGATGGGTCTCTTGGAAACTCGTGGAATAAACCGGATCCTGAAAGTAACAAGAGCCTGGCTGAGAAATATCTGCAGTCAGTTGAGAATTTAATTGCGATATCAAACATAAGTAATGATTCAAATCTAACTAACTTGCATGTACAGACATGCAGCGAAGATAAATGCACCAATACGGTGTTCAATGCCACAGTCACTGTTAAAAACTCAGGAAATGGCATCGTAAAAACAGCTGGATTCAAATACCTGCAGGACTATTTGCCCAATACAACAGAAGCATTTAACATCAACAGCATTGTTGTGTCAACAACCACTCAATGGGGAAAAGAAAACCTTGAGATTACACTAAAGTTCCCATTGCTCACACCAAGGCGTCGCCATGTTAAATTGCAATGTGTCTCATGGAACTACAACCAGAGCAATTGGACAGATGAAGGATGTGTATGGGGGGGCGATTCTAAACCTGACGAGTGCATTTGCAATCATCTGACTTCATTTGCCATTCTGATGTCTCGGTATCCCATTGAAATCCCTTACATGACCGAGATAACGTACGCTGGACTTTCTGCATCAGTGGTGTCACTCGTTATCAGCCTCCTGATAGAACTGATCGTCTGGAGCAAAGTAGTCAAGACAAATACTCTACATTTGCGCCACACCGCCCACGTGAACATTTCTCTTTGTTTGCTGGTGGCAGATTGCTGTTTTCTGGCATCTTCTCAACCAGAGATCATTTCAGAAATCTGGTGTAGAATTGCAGCTCTTCTGAAGCATTTCTGCTACCTGGCCATGTTCTTTTGGATGTTGAGCCTGAGCACCATGCTCCTTCATCAGGCAGTTTTCCTGTTTCACAAAGTGGGCAAGAAAACCTATCTGAGGTTCTCGTTGGTCCTGGGCTACGTTTGTCCTTTTCTCATTGTTTTCATCACATTTCTCACCAACAAGGGCGGCGCTCAAGGCGCGTATTTCTGTTTGGAAACATGTTGGCTGGTTTATTCTGGACTTCTGAAAGGAACCATCTATACATTCATTCTCCCAGTTGGTATAATTGTTTTCATCAACTTGTTTGCCATGATAGTGGTAATCATGAAGCTTTTGGACCATAGGATCAGAGAAAAGTCTCATGAGAAAGAAATACAGGCCGCCAAAACTGTCCTGAGATCAGTTATTCTTCTGACTCCAATCTTTGGTTTGCCATGGATTTTTGGATTTGCAACATTTATTCTGGACCTCACAGCTGGAGCTGTGACTTTAGCTGTGAACTACGCTTTTGTTGTGCTCAATGCATTCCAGGTATGGTCACAATTATTAAACTGATCAGACTCAATATCTGTTCTGCTAAAAGTATTACTTTTTTTTTTTAAATGCTTGTTTTTCATTTCTAGGGTTTGTTTATTTTGTTGACCACGTGCCTGGGGGACAGAATGGTAAAGTCATTTACTTCTAGAGATAAGAGGCCTACCTAGTTTTAGTTAGATGCTGCTGTATCACTGTGATAACATTTGAATATATTTAAAGTTTGAAGCCAATGGCAGGAACGCATGATCTAAAATCCACAGCTGAATCAATGTCATTATTGTTGTAGTTGTTCTCAGGTTAATTCTGTGTTATTTCAATTATTTTAATGAAATTATTATCAACAGTCATCAAAAATATCCTTGGAAATCTTTTCATCAAATGTTTTTATTCTGATTTTCACAGACCCGTGAAGCACTGCTGAATTCTTTCAGGAAAAAAGTAAGTGAACCACAGCTTGTTCGTAAATAACCGTGGTAACTCATAATGAATGACGCACATCTGTTTCCTCTGTTCTGCAGGCTCCACCAACCATCAGCGAAAGCTCCACAAATTTGGAAACAACAACTAAAAATTCCTAAACAACACCTGCACACATGTATACTCACAAAACACTACATTTAAATCCAATATATTTGATTCATGAGCTACATTTACTCTTTGATGTGACTGTTTCTTTGTTGTTTATTTTGTTTTACTTGCAGTAATACAAATCAGAAGTTTTAATAATTATTACACTTATCTGTCTTTCTTTGTTCAATATACATATTCATATGAAATGTGCTTTAATAATACTGTACATTGCATGTTTTAAATAGCACTTAGCAGTGAAGAGCTGAAGGAAAACTCTCAGCTGAAAGGATAGAAGAAAACCTGCGTGAGGATTTTATTTCTGTAAATGGGATTTGGGCTCACATCTTGTTTCAGTTTTTAAGTTTTCTTTGTCCCGTTCTGCCCACTCCTCATCTGTGTCATCCACTGAAACCCCTTCTCGCGCTGATAGCTTGCGATAAACCTCGCACTCTATCTCTGCTCTGTAACACACAAAACAAGACCATATATTAATCATGTACAAGCATTATATTATATATAGTTTATTGTTATTAAAATTACAACAATTTGAGAACCGGGCTTCATGTCATACTTTTTAAGGAATCTAACACAGTCTTGGTGTCCGTATATCTCGGCTATACGCGCTGGCTTGTCTCCACAGCAGTCCTCCTTATCAATAGGTGCATGGAGTGAGTGCAGCAACCGCAGCACTGCCAGCCGACCAGACTCTGCAGCAAAATGGGCAGGGGTCCACCCATACTCTGTCCTCAGGCATGGTCTGGCTCCATGCTTTATAAGTATCCTCACCATTTCTGTGTGTCCTATGGAAAGATATAATTAGTTTGTGAGCAAGTTAAGAATACTTAATTTGATGAATTAGGGCTATTGGGAAAATTATTGTGCAGAGTGTTTTATAAATGTTTTCAGGGACCCTCCTTAAGGTTTTGGCTCACTCATTTCTCTCCCTGTAAAAAACAGCAGCTGGACCTTTAGCTAGGAGCATGCCTGACACACAAAAAGCCACTCTTTTCATGCGTCTCCTCTCCTGTAGTGATGATGAAGTACAGATTTTCTTTAAAAATGTAGGGAGAAAAAGTAAAAAGGTAGTCATAAATACTCAAGTAAAGTGCAGAGAACGGAAAATTCTATTTAAGTACAGTAACGAAGTATATTTACTCCAGCAGTGTGGAGAATCTCACAATGGCTTCACCCAAAACCTTTGCTAATAATGGCCCACACCCTTTTTCAAGGTGTGAAAAAGGGTGTGGGCCATAGCAGAGGTTTTGGGTGAAACCATTGTGAGACCTTGCCTCGCCCTAAATAGCCAGAAAACCTGAAAAGAGACCTCTCGATGTTTGAAATCTTGGGAGATGTTGTCTTTGTCTATTGCGTGTGTGTGAAAAAGCCACCTTTCATCAATAGTGGGTCAATGACCCTCTTAAGGGACAACTCGCACTTGGGACTCTCCACCATTTGATCTTAGAACTGAACAAGCTTCTCGGATGAGAGGCGAAACATCTTCAAGAAAAGTCCAGTCACGTTTTTTCCTTGATTCCTCTAAAAATGGTCAGGTACAAGGACCGGACTGAAAATGAGTAAAAAAGCAGGCCAAGCATGTCCAAATAATGTTGAAACACTGGAAAACTATTGCTGAGGTCAAGGTAGTGGTTTCGGTAAAAATTTACAAACAAGTCTGGCACCTTGGAAGCAAAATATAAAGAAATGAGGTGTAGTGCAAGGCTTTTGTACAGTGCTGCACATGCCTAAAAGTACTGCGTTTCTGCAATCTGATTGGCTCATTAGAAATGACAATAAACGAGATGTTGAAAAGGTGTACCTGAAAAATTGGCTATAGTGTGTAATCACAGTTTTAACATACAAGTCCAAAAAAGACATTGTTGAATATTTAGAGACTGGTCTGGACGCAGCAACTCAAAACTCTGATTCTTAGCAAACTACAAGGTTGGCCTGTAGCTCCCATGTTGGCTCACTTTTTGTTTTTTGTCTCAGATGGCCTGACTCAGCAGCTGAGGGTAAATGCAGTTTCTGAATTTGCCTTTGCCCAACAAGTGCAGGAATGGCTCCTATATGCTCCAGATCAGATGGGTGGTGCAGGACACCCAATATCCAGCCCCATTCCAGAGTAAATTAGAATCAATGAATTCAAAATAATACACTGAACAAAAAAAAAAAGTTTTTATATAATAAACTGTTCTTAATTGATGCAAAGATAAAACGTAATGGACATGTTAAATTGTAACATAATGTTTAACAGATAATGGTTATCCTGTTTTTAGATCATACACAACTGTCTTATGCACAGGTTTAAATGCTGATGGTAATTTGCAGTGGTTTAGTATTAGTCCTGTTGATTTTTAAAGGATTATTTCATTGTTGCTTCACTATTAACGGAGCATGCAAAAGTGATGGAAAAATCAACATCAGAATTCAACACTGATTCACTTTTAAGGGTGAAAAATTGATATAAAATAAATGTTCAACATCAATGTTGAACTTTAAAATGTATTTTATCCGACTCTGATATTGTTTCAATATTAATGTAGTTTAAAATTTTGATTTAATGTCAGATTTCAATGTTGAATCAATAGAATTGAGGAAAGGGCTTTTTTTTGTCAAGCTTTTACAGAAAAATCGTCATCTTTATGGCTATTAAAGGAGAAACTGTTTCCAAAGTATTTTTAATGAATGCTGTCTACTGTATTAAATATTTAGTGAAAAGGCAGCTCTAACAAATATTCATGAATTCCGACTTTGTGCCTAAATCGTTTTTACGCACGGTATAAAGCGCAGTTTAGTGTACTGACACTAACATTTATGTTGCATAAACAGCGTACACGTGGTCTAATCACATTTTTCATTTTCCAGCGAATGCGAACAGGTAATTTGAGCCCAAGACTTGCGCAGTCACCAGGGGACACGGATACGCCTCATTTTCACGTATTTAACGAACTACCTTTAGCCGCTGCCCAGTGGAGAGGTGTCTTGCTGTACCAGTCGATGTCTTTCTGGTTGGGATTGCACTTATTTTCCCTCAGAAGCTCCTCAACTTGATCACAGTCGCCTGCTGCTGCAGCTTGGTGCAACTCTGACATTTTAACCTAGCAACAGTGGATCCTAGCAACGGATCAACACTAGATGGCTCCTAACCTGAAGGTAAAAATGCGGAAAGGAAACCAGGGCGTGTCTAGATCGTTATCAATAATAATAATAATATATTAATAAAAATATATTATTGTTATTCAAAAACAGCAAGGACGCGATTTAAGTAAGGCTAGCCTGTCTTAGGAAGTGAAAACTCATTTTATGTGCTATAACAAGTAAATAAAGGTAACACAATCCACATTGTGTCTGTTTTTAGTGTGGAAATAAATCAGGCTAACATTTTAAGTGTCCTGTGCTTCACAGATATAGCCAGATTCTTAATTAATTGCTTTATTAGTTACAACATTATTTTATTCACATTCATGACTCTATACTGGTTTTCCACATCTGCTGACAAACAATTCCCAGATCTAATGGGCCTACATGAAGCACATTTATTACCCCAGTACATTTTTTCTTGACTTTAGTCATTTTGAACCTGCCACACATATATCCCTTCCAGAGATGGGCAGTAACGCGTTACTGTAATCTGATTACTTTTTTTCAAGTAACGAGTAAAGTAAGGGATTACTATTGCAAAAACGGTAATTAGATTACCGTTACTTTCCCGTAGGAACGCTGCGTTACTGCATTACTAAAACCCTGATTTTCTTGCAAGTGTAAAACTTCTTTTTACAGTGAAAAAAAACCACCTAAACTTCCAAGCAAGCACCGGGAGTGCGCTACCACGTAATGGGAAACTCACGGATTCTTCCACTGACCGCTGCGGCTCATCTGCACCGGGGCAAACCTCTGCCTACGCCACTCCTGCTTTACAGGTGAAAATAGAGCAACAGGACCGCTAGTCTTTGATGTTATTTATTTTCTGCTGTGTTTTACTTGCATCTATTTGAAAGACTGAGTGTAAACACAAAAAAATAAAAAATTAATTATGTGCTGGAATGTGCAGAAAATGGGTTTAAATGTTAAACAAATTTCTTCCAGTCAGAGAATGGTGCCTATAATTTAATTTTTGCTTGATGCATAAAGTTAAAAGATTAAAACTAATAAAACAAGTTTTAAAAAGAGACTTTTCAATTTGATTACCTTTTGTATGATGGATTATGCAGAAAAAGTGGGCTGAAAGATCTATTGCTTTATTACCTATTCAGGTTGTAAACCGTGTTTTTAAAAAGTAACTAAGTAATTAATTACTTTTGAAAATAAGTAATCAGTAAAGTAACGGGAATACTTTTGGGGGGGAAGTAATCAGTAATTAGTTACTGATTACTTTTTTCAAGTAACTTGACCAACACTGATCCCTTCATCTAGATTCAAGACTTTGAAGACATGCTCTCTACTTTTAAGATTAAATCTTTCCTTTCTGATAAAGCTTATAGTTAGGGCTGGTTCAGCCTGAACATCTCGCCATTAAAGGCTCGGGCTTGTGGAGGGGCTTCCTAAATGCACCGAGCATTTCTTCCCCAGGTGTTTATACACCACTGCAGCATGTCATTAATGTTAATTTTCATGCCACAGTCGATTTTTGTCTCATCTCTCTGTGTGTGCCCTTTTTCTCTTTCCTTTCTGCCCCAGACAGTTGCAGCAGATGGCTTCCCCCTCCCTGAGCCTGGTTCTGCTCAACGTTTCTTCCCATTAGAAGTTTCTAAACTGTAAGGAGTTTTTTTTTTTTTTCAATCTCAAAAATTACTTAGATAATACCCCATGAGCCAGCACTGATAGTTTGAGTTTTCCACTCAGAGATTCTACATTAAGACATAAAGTGCCTTAAAGTGACCGTTGTTTCATAAATGAAATGCCAAATAAATATCCATAGAAAAAAAATAAAAATTAAACAGCACCAATTGTTAATGCTCAAATCTTTATTATAAGCAAATGCAAGTCATTTTGGATTAAAAGTGAAAACTGCTCTAGGAATCAAACCATC